CGAGGTGGGGGTGGAGGAGAGGCAGAAAGAGGCAGGGCGGGGGCGGAACAGGGGCGGGAGCTTGCGGGAAGGGATAGAGTGGGGGTAGGGTGGGGGCGGAGCAGGGGCAGGAAGAGGCGAGGTGGGAGTGGAGCTGGGGCAGGAAGAGGAGGGGCGGGGGTGGAGCTGGGGTAAGGGCTTGGGGGAAGGGTTGGAGTGGGGGTGGGACAGTGGCGGAGCAGGAGCAGGAAGGGGCAAAGATGGGGGGGTGTCCTGGGCCCCACACCGTCCTAGGGAGGGCCCTGCCTGCATGCTGTGAAACAGCTGATCACGGCGGGTGGGAGGGAGGGGGAGGTGCTGATCGGCAGGGCTGCCCGCACGTGGCAGGCGCTGGGGGCGAAGGAGCGGGGAGCTGCTGGGGGGCTGCTGACGTATCCCTGTGGCTCTTTGGCAATGTTCATTGGTAAATGCTGGCTCTTTCTCAGGCTCAGGTTGGCCATCCCTGCTATAGATGCCCTTTATGCTCTCCAGTGCCTGCTCTTTGGTTATTTTCCCCCAGTCTTCTGGGAGGCCGGCTGGCTTAGCCTTATACTCACTGGCAAACTGGCAATTAAATTCTTTAAACACAAACTTCCAGTAATCAGAAGCCTCACTGCTGGGGTCTGGCTGAATGCGCCAGTCTGGGTAATGCAGGCGGTAATCTCTGAAGGGAACCAGTTTCCCTTTTGTATCTGATTTGCTAAAGAAAGCATTAGAGACCACATCAGAGGAGCATAACGAATAGTCAAGTTGTTTTGTGATGTGATCCCTGCGTCGCCTCAGTCCCTGGGGCCGATGTACTGGTGCAAAGTGCTCCGTATGAGCTGAGCTTTCTGCTTCACAGGGGACTCCGCAGAACGGACACTGCTTCCCACAGCCAAACACTCTCTTGAACAGCTCAGCCTGGGGCTTCACCTGGAGCTTGGAGAGTTTCTCCTCTATGTTCACAGCTTTAAATTCTGATGCCAGGTTCAGTTCCAACTCAGAGAGAGAGTCCTGAATGTCAGCAGAAAACTGGCTGGTATCAGCACTGGCTGTAAATTGAAAGAGCGTTGTTTCCAAACTGTCTCTGGGGAGGACTAGGTCTTTCTGTAACAGCCTGCAAACGTTTGCTACAAAGTCAGAGACTGTGCTCGTTCCCCCATCGGTTGGCATCTCTAGAGCTCCTCTGACTTTCTCGATGATGGCGGAAAGGATCTCTGCTTCGAGAGCTTCGACACTTTCTCTGTTTCCATAGTGATCTGAAATGTCTCTCCGTATCTCTGCTTTGACAAAACTTTCATAGTCGTTAATGTATTTCTTATAGTTGTCAAAGTCCATCTCTTCCAGCAGCTTCTGCAGCACAGAGAGCTGGAAGCAGGCCCGGCTGCGGTAACCATTGGCCTCACTTCTGGAAAGGTCATCTACTATCCTGATTCCCAGTCTTTTGTTAACATGTTCTGCCAGGGCAGGTTTGAGACAATGCTCACAGAAATGCCTGGCTCTCTGCTGGCAGGGATCTTTTTCCAAGTACAGGTGTATAAATGGGGACAAATACTGAGGTTTCAATTTCTCCAGCCGTTCCTGGGGATCATTTTCTTTGATAAAGTTTTCATGCATCTCCTGGAATGCATGGGCCGCCTCCCCCAAAATATGAAGTTTCAGCTCAACTTCAAAGCAAGCATTAGTGTGAAGGTTTGGCACATTCTCCTGCTGAAGCCTCTCGTTGATCATCTGCAGCAGTTCTCTGCCATAGGTCTCATCATAATCCGCTTTGGAATTCACCTTCTCTTCGATATAACGGTGGCACTTGTCCATTAAAGAACGAGCAAATTCCTCTACTTTGTGCCAGTCTTCCTGTGTGACCGATTCTCTCATGTCCCTGAAACACGTTAAATCCAAATACTCATTGTCCACAGTGAAAGATTTAATCCTGTAACTGCACAAATTTCCTGCTTCCTGAAGTTTCTGCCTTACTGTGCTCCCTCGATTCTCTAGGTCCTTTCTCAGCTGGAACTCTAGATCTTGGGAAACCTGGCGTTTCTGTAAACTAATGAGCTTTAACTCAGACACTGCTTCCTTCCACATCATTTCAAATTCTACTTCCAGTTCCTTCTTGTCCAGATTAAGTTTTCTTCTCTTGCAATCTTCCAGAAGGCTGACGACTTTCTTTTCCGTCATTCTCATGTACTCGGCCTGGATATTGTCTATCTTATGCCTGCTTTTTGTAATAAGAATCGCATCTTCACACTTGCTGGCTGAGTAATGTTCCAGTTCCGTCTTGAGGCTCTTTGTGCTTCTAATAAAATCTTCCCTGTACTTTTCTGTCAGGTTTCTAGCTCCACTTTCAAAGTATTCCTGTAAAGAAAATAAAATCTTCTCTTCCCCTTGCTGCACTTTTTCTTGCGCCTCCTGTTTTAAGTTTCCAGAATCTAGTTTATTTATTTCTTGGGGTGGCTGGTTCTGAATTGCCATTTCTTGGCCACATACCCAGAGATGCATCTCCTTGCGGAGCTCCCACTCCCACTCCGAATACCTCAGAGAGAGCTGGTTATAGGCCTCAGCTACCATGCTGTTTCTGAAGCTGAAGATGAAGTTCTCATGTTTCACAGCGTTCCACAGACTCTTCACCCATTTGGTAAACGGGAGGATGTTCCTGGGGGCTTTGTTAGGTGTCCGGCTTCTCATAAATTCAATGAAGTATTTCTTTAGCTCATAAACACTCTCACTGTACCCCAGGTTCACTGGCGCCATGGGCGGGACTCCCTGCCACAGCCCAGGGATGTACCAGTTGTGTTTTTCCGGATCATACGCCATAATATCAGAAAAAGTCAGATCCCTGCTTAGTTTTTCCATCCTCGCTGCAGCTTTGGTCATTTCATTGAGATGTTCCAGGAAATGATTCCTGTCCCTCATGTTTTGTTCGTGGGCAGACACGTCACTGACGTTCTGATACACAAACTGGCAGTTGGGTTTGTGCCCTATTTCTTTCATCCTGAGAAAGGCGTGGACCACGATTTGCAGAATGTCCTTCATTTCGCTGGTGTTCTCCATGGCCATGTTAACGATCGTTATGTCGCTTAACCCAATCACCAGTGTGGCCAGCTCATTGTCATGTTCGTAACTGTCCTCCAGTTTGGCCAGCTGAGGGGCTCTCAAGCCTTCTGTGTCTATCACCAGGATAAAGTCGCAGCCAAGCTCCTGCTGAAACTTCTCTGCAACTTTAATGAGCGTCATGAAGGCTCCTCGCGTACATCGGCTGCTGCTCACTGCCAGCTGCAGGCCGAACATGGAGTTCAGCAGGGTGGATTTGCCGGTGCTCTGCACGCCCAGCACTGACACAACCAGCAACCTGGACTTTCCCCCCAGCTTGGCATGGAGCTCGGTCAGAACATCTGTCACCCACTGCAGCGGGACGTGGGATGCGTCTCCATCGATGATCTCTAGAGCAAATCCGCTCAGCATCAGGTCAGCGGCTGTGCCTGGGAGATGGGTGAACCGCCTGTGGCTTTGGGCTATTTCGCCGTCCTTACGCACTGAGTGTTCTGCCTCATAAAACTGCCCCAGCTCCCGCATGAAATGCTCCAACCCTAAGGAACTGGCTGCAATTAATTCATCTAGCTTTGCTAGCTGCTCGAGGCTATGGCCTGGAGTCCTGTATGTCTCCTTATATTCAGCCCGCAGTTTGGAAAGATTCTCCCTAGCAATGTGATCCAGTCTGAATTTCATCCATTTCAGGAAGTAGTGTGTTTCCACTGGATTGAGCTGTTCTAGTGATGCCTTAAATATCCCCATCCTACCCGTGAGTTCACGCCCGTTCTGCTGGGTCCGTAACTCCAGCAATTTCCACCTCAGCTGAGATTTATAGATCTCTGTGGGGGTTTCCCCTTGCTTCTTCATTCGACAGAATTCTCTTTCTACTTCAGCCAGGCATGTCCATGGGACCCCTTGGAGCGTCAGTGCTCTGCCCTTGTACTCGCCAACGGCCCCTATTTCCCCAGTGATTTCGTCTGCTCTCTTTCTCACTTCCGCACATTCCTCGCAGTCCTCGTCTACCTGGATTCCTAGTTCACGCGCTGTCACAGCCATGTCCTCTACGCTCAGTGTTCTCTGGGGCTGCTTCATCAGGTGTGCTAAGGTGTCCTGCAGCCTTGTCACAAAGTCTGAATCGTTTGCAGTGTTATCCTTCACAAGCACGTGGGACTGGGTCAGCTTGAGCAGCAGGGCCAGTTTATTGAGGAATCCCTGTGTTTTACTGGGTATAGTACTTCTGGGGTTGAGTATGAGGTAGAATTTTGTTCTCAAGTCCTGCAGTGATGATAGGAGTTTGTATTTTCTCTCACTGATGCAGTCAGCGAATATGAACACAGCGGAGGAGACCTCTGCCAGGAAGCTGAACTGCAGCCGGTGGGACTCAATGTCTCCTCGCAGGTTAATAACCGCAATGGGCTCCTGGAAAGGATCCGAACTCTCCCTCCCCCCGGGGAAATACCAGGAGATCTCTACCAAGCCCTCTGCGATTTCCCGAGGGACGTTCCCAGACTCCATGTCCCGATGGATGAAGAAATCGTGCTGCTGCTGGGGGGGG